TCTAAATTAATTGAAATCCTGTGGAAGTTTTATTATTTATAAAAATAATTGAATTTTGCAAAATTTTATGAAAATAGTAGATATTAAAAATAATTGAATTTCGAATATTTTCTGAAAATAATTGAATCGTTTTAAAGAATTTGATTAATTTTTGAGAATAGTTTTTTTTATTTCTAGTATTAGCGATTTTAAAGTAAATTCTCAAAAAAATCAGAAATAGTAACTTTTAGTGGCTGAAATCAGTGAAATCTAAGAAAAGTATTCAAATAGTAGCACAACGTAAAAAAAGTAGTAAATATTAGGTTTTTGTAGATGAGTGCGAAGCCTGCAATTCTGTTGCATGTAAATTGTGTTAAATTTCAATTGTCAAATATTTTTCTGTTAAGTGACTTTTTGGTTGTTTGTCAGTTGAGGAATATTCACGCATCCCGTAAAAAAATGACTCTACTTGTTGTTCTTAATGCACTTTTGCCAATATCCAGCAGGTTTAATTTTTAATTTACTTCTGCTGAGAAGGGAGTTGGAACGTATTATTGCTTTAATTTAAACTCCAATTTCTACACAGGACTTCTGCTTCATTAACACTGCACTCTCTTGTTTTAGGTGCTATGCTGTTCAGTTTTTGAGAGCACTCACGTATCAAGAATGTGAACAGCCTCAAAGAGAGAGAGAGAGAGAGAGAGAGACGAGGAGCTGCCATGTCGATATGTTGGCATCTCTGTGCAGTCTCGCAAAAAAAAAAAAAAAAAAAAAAAAAAAAAAAAAAAATTGCAGAGCGTAGTGAAAAAGTATATATATAGTTCAGTAGCGCATTATTCTCTTACCCTAACTTGCAGACCCTACGCTCTCTCTCTCTCCCTTTTTTTTGCAACCGTTGTTTTACCCTGCACATTTTTTATTATACCGACATCAAATTTAATATTTCCCTGCGCGAAATATCAATAGAGGACCGAGAGCAAAAATCTCCCCAAGCGGACGAAATGCATAAAATAAAAATATCAAATGATAAATAAAAAAAAAGGAAATTTGAACATGAATTGTTTAGAGAAGAAATTTGTTTGCTACAATTATTCTAAATAAAAAAAACACTTTTTCTCGACAATTTGTAGGCTCTTCATCATATAAAAAAAAACCTTTGTCGACAGTAATAATTGTGAAAAGAAAAATCTAGGTTTTCTAGTATAAACATTTTCGCCTTTCACTGTGCATTCTTTACATAATATGTCGTTGTTTCCATACTGTATAATGAAAATCAATAATATCATATTGATTTCACTGTGTACTCTATGAATGTGATAAGTATAACTTTTAAAAGTTGTTATATTATAAATATCAAATGTTGACTCCTGGAATTATTGCCATTTTTCGTTTGGACAATTTCCAACGATTATTACTGGCGCGTTAATCAGGGTTGCCAAAAATATTTAATTTTATTTTTCCCTGACTTTTCCCTGATTTCCAGACTTTTTCCTGACTGATTTTGACTTTTTCCCTGACCCTAAAGAATATTCTGCGATTCACTCAAAAAATTATTAGATACTCAAAAAAATGTTCTATTACATTTATTTACAAATTTCTTCAAAAGTAAAAATATTCCAAAACATCAATAATTTCTTTTTAAAATAAATATTCAATAATTATTATTTTTCTGTAGGAATTAAAAATCTTCAAAACATTCAAATTCAAACCTTTTTGAAATTCAACAACTTATAAGAATATTATTACAAAACATGAAGAAGGCGATCACTCCGAGTCTTCGACTCGGAGTGATCGTCTTCTTCATGTTTTGTAATTTAATTTAAATTACCATACAATTTTTCAAAAAAAATATTAATTATTTACAAAAATCTTAATAAAATTCTTTGCAAGAATTCAATTATTTTTACAAGTAGTAAAAATTTCTCAAACAAATTCAATTATTTTAAAAAAATGTAATAAAATTCGTTAAATTAATTATTTACAAAAATCCTAATAAAATTCTTTGCAAGAATTCAATTATTTTTACAAGTAGTAAAAATTTCTCAAACAAATTAAATTATTTTAAAAAAATGTAATAAAATTCGTTAAATTAATTATTTACAAAAATCCTAATAAAATTCTTTGCAAGAATTCAATTATTTTTACAAGTAGTAAAAATTTCTCAAACAAATTAAATTATTTTAAAAAAATGTAATAAAATTCGTTAAATTAATTATTTACAAAAATCCTAATAAAATTCTTTGCAAGAATTCAATTATTTTTACAAGTAGTAAAAATTTCTCAAACAAATTAAATTATTTTAAAAAAATGTAATAAAATTCGTTAAATTAATTATTTACAAAAATCCTCATAAAATTCTTTGCAAGAATTCAATTATTTTTACAAGTACTAAAAATTTCTCAAATTCAATTATTTTTATAAATAATAAATCGATTATTCGGTAATTCATTTTTAAATAAATTTTTATTAGAAAATTCTAGAAGAATTCAATTATTTAAATTAAAAAATAAATAATTTATTGACTAATTGAATGTTCGTTAAAATTGAATTCTCATAAAGAGTTTTATCGACAAATTTTTAAATAATTGAATTCTTTTGACGAATTTTAATGAAATTTTTAAGAATAATTACATTTTTCGAAGAATTTGACTAAAATTGTATCAAAAATAATAAAAATTCTGAGATGAGTTTTATTATTTATGAAAATAATTAAAATTTTCCCAAGAAATTTATTAAAATTTTTTTCGAAAATAATTAAATTTTGGAGAAGAATTTTATTATTTATAAAGATACTTGTTATTTTGACGAGAATTTTTTAAAAATTTTTAAAAATAATTGAATTTCGAAGAAGAATTTTATTACTTTTAAAAATAATTGAATTCTTCCAACGAATTTTATTCAAGTTTACAAAAATAACTGATTTTCTGTGAAGAATTTTATTATTTATATAAATAATTGAATTCTTACAACGAATTTTATTCAAGTTTATAAAAATAATTGAGTTTCGGTAAAGAATTTTATTATTTAAATAATTGAATTATTTCGAAGAAATTTATTAAAAATTTTGTAAATAATTGAATTCCTGTAAAATTTTGCCAAGAATTTTATTAAAATTTTTTAAAATAATTCAATTATTTCGAAGAAATTGATTAAAAATTATGTAAATAATTGAATTTCGAAGAAGAATTTTATTACTTATAAAAATAAAATTTAAATTTTGTATTTTAAATAATTGAATTCCTGTAAAAAATTTATTACTTATGAAAATAATTGAATTATTTTGAAAAAATTGATTAAAACTTTTGTAAATAATTGAATTTCTGTGAAGAATTTTATTACTTTTGAAAATAATTTAATTGTTTCAACCAATTTTATTCATGTTTATAAAAATAATTGAATTTCGGTAAAGAATTTTATTATTTATATAAATAATTGAATTCTTGCAACGGATTTTTTTTCAAGTTTATAAAAATAATTGAATTTTCGTAAAGAATTTTATTATTTATCAAAATAATTGAATTCTTGAAAAGAACTTTGTTAAATTTTTTTTAAATAATTGAATTTTCGATACGAATTTTATAAAAATCTTTTTTAATAATTGATATTTTTCGAAAAATTTTATGAATTTTGTATTTTAAATAATTGAATTCCTGTGAAAAAATTTTATTACTTATGAAAATAATTCAATTATTTCGAAGAAATTTATTAAAGATTTTTTAAATAATTGAATTTCTGACAAATTTTGCCAAGAATTTTATTAAAATTTTTTTAAATAATTGAATTTCGAAGAACAATTTATATTATATGTAAAAATAATTGAAATTTTGATAATTGATAATTTAATTTTTAATTTATTTTTGATAATTGAACTTTTAAAAAAATTTTGAAAATAATTGAATTTCTTTAATCATTTGTAACTTTTTCAAAATTCAATTTTTTTTAGTTTTTTTTCACTAAAATTCTTCTATAAATCTAGTATTTATGAAAATAGTAAAAATTATTCATTAATTATTCATTATTTTTATAATTTATAAGTCATAATTTTATGAATTTGAGGCACTTTCTTAATCTACAAATTTTGAAACAATTCTTTCATTTTTTTTATTTCCCGAAAAATTATGAAGTTAGCGTCGATGCTTAAGCGACGAAAACTATTATTTAGGGTTTTCAGAGTAAAGAATGTAACTGATTTCACTTTCTTCATTCAATTTAAGAATTAAAAAACCACCAAGTTAAAAATTTTTTTTTTAATTTCTAAATTCTAAGAATGAATTTTTCAAAAATATTTTAATATAATTTTTTAGAAGCAAATTTTCATTAATTCTCATTTTTAAATTTACACTTGAAGATTTTTCATTAAAATTGTTGGGAATTCAATTATTCTCAAAATTGACAATATTAAAATTCTGCCAAAGGTCATTTTCAAAATTGTAATAAAATTCTTTAAAAAAATCAATTATTTTCTATTAAATTTTACAAAAATTCAATTATTGAAAATTATTCAAAAATAATTTTTTGAAAATTTGTCTATAGTTATTTTTCACACTAATAAAAATTGAAATTGCATTTTCTTCTAAAAATATGGTACTTTGTTGCAATATTTTGAAGAAAGGTTGCAATATTTGAAAATAAGTTGAAAAAAATCGAAAAAGTCAGAATATCTAAGGCCGTAAGTACCTTACGCGGACAAAATTTTAGGTTATGTATTTAAAAATAAACAAATAAAATTCATTAATTTTCTTATTTCTTATTTCATTTATTTGATTATTTTTATTATTATTATTATCATTATTATTATTATTATTATCGTTATTATTATCGATATTATTATATAAAAATTTAGTTTAATTCAATTGAACATAAAATCGAAAAATGTAAATTCGGTTCAAATTCTAATGATTTTTAAACTCTGTTAAATAAAAATAAATATTCTAACCCCTGAATTTGATGGGATATTTATGAGCCTTAAAAACAGGTGTAGCATTTGTTTCTAAAAGCATATGAGCATAATTTATAGCTACCTAATTTTGTTTGTACCATGTCAGGTGTGACAGGTCTAGAAGGATCATCCAGGGCCACATGTCTTCGAACTCGGGGCATTTTTTCAATGCTAGAGAACCTACGAAAAAAAAGTTCAAATCATTAAGTCACCTGCAATATTGTCTTCAATTTTCTTCATGTAATAGAAAATAATTTTAAGCCGAATTTTTAGTTTTTCAATTTAAATTTCAAGAATTTTTAACTAAAACAATATTGTCTTAGTTAAAATTGACATAATAACATAATATTAGGTCAATGAATTTTTATTAACATTTTAACATTAACAAAATTTTCATTTCATAAAATTTTTAATTTAATAACTTTTTACTTTTTAAAAATTCAATGTAACCGAAAGTAACATTCGGTTTAATAAAATTTCTTTAAAAATAAAAAGTTGATTAAATAGAAATTCTTTAAACTGAAACTTTTTTTGTTGACCTGATATTACGTTCTTAAGTAATAATTAATTATTACTAAATTAAAATTACTTAATTAACTAAAATTTCGGATTTACTTCAATTTGTAAACTGAAAATTGCACTGAAAATTATTTTATCCAATGAAATTCAGTCAAATAAACGCGGTCCGAAGAAAGGTGCCCAAAAAGCAAAAAATTGTAGGTTATGTTTATAATTCTTAAAATGAAAATACAAAAAGGGATCAATTCTTAATATAAATCGCAAATTTTTTTAAGTCTTCGTTGCATCTAAACTAATTAATAAAAACTGTCTTTAGTTTTACGTAATTAAATCGAAATTTTTAATTAAGCTAAAAATAACACAAACATAACCTTAAAATTCATTACTTCTTAGGTGCCTTTCATCAAAGCGCGTGAAATTTAATTTTTCTTTTTCTTTTAATAGAAAATTATGTTATTGGACTTGACTGTCCGTCATATTCTTCCTTAATTTCTACATATATCTTATATTTACAAAATAAAAATAGTTCCATATGTTGAATACTTTTTCTTAAGAATCACTTACATTCGTTTAAAAATTCGTAATTTGGGATAATTTAGAATATTTGAAAAGTATTTTAAAAATGATGTATCAACACTCGGTACCTGAATTAAATATGGAATTTAAGCCAGGGCATAAGTTTGATGGTTTACTGTTCGAGTTCCTGTAGCACCATCCACGCATATGTAGCGAGGTAGGTGACTCTAGGCTCGATTCTTTTATAAGGTTTCGGGGCTCAGAATTGAAACCCTTACAACCAAATTTTAACATCCGCGTATCATTACAATTATTTAAAACTCAAATTATAATAATCGCACAAAGAAAACTCTTTCAATTAATAATTTCATTTTCGATCAAATAACTTTTTGTTGATAAAAATAAAATTTGATTGTAAAAAATGAAATTCAAGATTAAAATACTTAATTTGGGTTTAAAAGTTCAAAAAATGGGTTTTAACATTAACTGGTTTGGCACTCAGTAATTAATTTTAAAAAAAAAGTAGCAAAAAGTATCTTTCAGACTGAAAATTGAATTGTATGGAAGAAAAAAAAATTCTTTCATTAGGAATTGTACCGAAATTAAATGAATTCTTGTATAGAATTTTATTAAAATTTTAGAAATAATTGAATCCTTTAATTAAATTTTCCATTGAAAAGAATTGAATTCGTCTGAAGAATTTTATAACTTATAAAAGTAATTCAATTCTTGCGACGAATTTTATAATATTATAACATTTAGTGATTATTTTTTAGCCAAGATATGCAATAACACTTACATGAATCAACACACAAGCAGAAGAATTAAACATTTCACCAAAAAAATATTTTTTTTCATTATAAAGTGACGTGCCTCAGAGATGATAAAAAAGATAATACAGTATTTTGAAATGAAAAAAGCATATATTTTGTTTTTTTAATATTTCGCAATACATAATCTGATTATTAGGACACGATATAGTTACCAGCAGTATATTTAGAAAAAATATTTCACAAAATAAATACGTCGCGAAGCTAAAATTTTAGATTCCCATGCAAACCTAACCTTAAAATATCACAATTATTATTTTCAATGTTTTATAATTTATTAATAATAATAATGATAATAATTATCAGGGTGGTCAGAAGTTTCAGTTTATCAATTTCCCTGACAATTTACTGACATCAAAATTATTTTCCCTGACAAAATTCTTTTTATAGGAGAATATGAAAGTTTACGGAAAATGAGTAAAATTTATGAGTTTCAATAATTTCTAAAAATGACAATTAATTCCTCAATTCAATTATTTTCTACAATTTTCAACTAAACTTCATCTCTAAATCAATTATTTAAAATAATTTTCAGAAAGTTCTTCTATACAATTCAATAATTTAAATATAAAAACTCAATTTTGCTGTTTTCAAATTCCCTGACTTTTCCAGGTTAAAAAACAGAATTTTTCCAGGTTTTTAAAACTACATATTTATATTTTACAAAATTTTTAATTCTAACCTTTTTGAAACTAAACAATTTATAAAAAATTGTTATAAAAAAACACGAAGAAATCGATCACTCCGAGTCTTCGACTCGGAGCAATCGATATCTTCATGTTTTATAAATAAATTAAAAATGACCGATTCAAACATTCAAAGATTATAATTTAAAACCTTCTCAAAATTTAATTATAAACGACTATTTATTAGTAAAATCTGATAATTCAAAAGCAAAAATTCAGTCTTTAATTCAAATTAGAAAACATTTTTACTAATTCAAATTTAGAGAGTTTAATAATAAATTATTATCCAAAATTTGAACTGAAATTCATATTTAAATAAATTTTTATTAAAAAATTCTACTAGAATTAAATTATTCAAATACAAAATTAAATAATTTATTGAACAAATGAATGTTTTTTAAAATTCAATTCCCATTCCAAATTTTATCAACAAATTTTTAAATAATTTAATTCCTTCGACGAATTTTTATAAAATTTTTAAGAATAATTACATTTTTCGAGAAATTCGATTAAAATTGTCTTAAAAATAATTAAAAATTCCGCGATGAGTTTTACGATTTGTGAAAATAATTGCAGTCACTAAGAAGAATTTTATTATTTTTAACAATATTTAATTTTTGCAAAGAATATTATTACTCTTGATAATAATTGAATTTCTGCAATAATTTTGTAACTTTTCCAAAATTAAATTTTTTTTCGTGTTTTTAACTAAAATTCTTCTGTAAATGCATTATTTTTAATAATTTTTGAAAAAGTTCTTTGAAAATTTTCAAATTCATTTGTTTACAATTCAATTTTACAAAATTTCAATTATTTGTAAATTCTTCAACTAAATATTTATATTAGGAAATAAAAACTTGAAATAATTTCAAAATAAAATCCACAATAACACTTTCTCAAAAAAATTAATTCCACAGAATTTTATTAGTTAAAAATATGGAAAATTCAGATTTTCAAAGATTTAAGTTTGAAACCTTTTCAAAATTCAATTATTTCTAAAAATTCGCGCTCTGATACTTTTAATATTCAATTATAATCTAAAATTTTTACTAAATTTATATTTAAATCAATTTTTATTAGAAAATTATACTAGAATTCAATTATTTAAATACAAAAAAAATATTTATTGAATAATTGCATATTTTTGAAATTAAATTCTCATAAAGAATTTTATAAATATATTTTTAAATAATTGAATTCTTTTGACGAATTTTAATACAATTTGTAAGAATAATTATATTTTTCGAGGAATTCGATTAAAATTGTATTAAAAAATAATTGAAATTCTGCAATGAGTTTTATTTTTATTATTTATGAAAATAATTGAATTCCTAAAAAGAATTTTATTATTTACGAAAATAATTGAATCCCTGTAAAAATTTAATTATTTATGGAAATAATTGAATGATTGCGAAGAAATTTATAAAAAAATTTTAAATAATTGAATGCCTGTGAAATTTTCATTATTTTATGAAAATAATTAAAGGTTTGCGTAGAATTTTATTAAATTTTTGTTAATAATTGAATTTTTTAGCCAATTTTATTAAAATAGTAAATATTGAAAACCATTGATTAAGGAAAAATTTTCAAAATAATTGAAATTTTGCCACGAATTTTATTAAAATTTTTGAAAATAGTTGAATTTTAGAGAAGAGTTGAATTATTTCTAAGGATAATTGAAATTTTGACGAGAATACTAGAATTCAATTATTCAAATACAAAAATAAATAATTTATTGAACAATTGAATGTTTTTTAAAATTGAATTCTCATTTAAAGAATTTTATCAACAAATTTTTAAATAGGTAACTAAAATTCTTTTGACGAATTTAAATAAAATTTTTAAGAATAATTTCATTTTTCGAGAAATTAGATTAAATTTGTATTAAATATAATTGGATCTTTGTAAGAAAAATTTGATTGAATTAAGAGAAATTTTTGAAAATAATTGAAATTTTGGCAAGAATTTTATAAAATTTTTGAAAATAATTGAATTTTGGAGAATAGTTACTTTTTTCGAGAAATTCCATCAAAATTTGTATTAAAAATAATTGATATTTTCGCGATGAGTTTTATTATTTATGAAAATAATTGAAAACCTGTAAAGTTTTTTATTATTTATGAAAGTAATTGAATCTCTGTAAAAATTTTGATTATTTATGAAAATAATTGAATTATTGCGAAGAAATTTGTAAATAATAAAATTCCTGGGAAATTTTTATTATTTATGAAAATAATTGATTGTTTGCGTAGAATTTTATTCAAATTTTTATTAGAATCATGTCAACCACTGATTCCCAGTACCAACTGGAGCAGTTCTCTTTTATGATACTTTCAAAAAAGAAGAAAATAAAAAATTTTCAAAAATTTGTAACTATAGATACAAATTTCATAATTAATGACGCTTTTAGGATTATAATCCTAAGCGTCATTAATTATAATTGCAGGACTCGGATGAAAAAAAACCCGAACTACATTTTGAGAAATCCTCTATTTGAATAAACATCCAGCTGCTTGTAAGAGAGTTATGCACTGTTTACTAAACGGACTTTTCTGATCCTTTTCTAAATCTGAATTAGTGAAAAATCGTCCACTAATTCCTTAAATAATATTACCAAAAATTTGGAAGA